ATGCTTACTTTGTGCCACCTGGATGTGTGTGTGAAATCGCTGAGGTAAATATCTTTTTGCGTACGACGCCTCCGTTGATAAACGTTTAGTTGCTAAACATGGTTATTTTTCTGTACTTGTACACGCCACTCACCCATGTTTAACATGGAAAGCTGAATTTAGTTTATTCGTTTCGATCAGAGCATGCGTGTTATCCCACGAGTACTGTTCATCGGTCCGCGGTTGTCATTTTGTTGGCTATCCGGCCCGCCGTGAGAAAGTTTGCTTACTCCTGTTTTATACAAAAATGTTGGATAGTTTACCATCCTCTTCTTGCACCCACACCTCTTTCGCTCAAGTGACGCACGTCGCGGAATTCGGTGTGTTCTCATGCGTAGCAAATATCACATCCATCGGAGCGTGGTGAGTGAAGTAACGGTGTTTAGTGGTTTACTTCCTCGTCCTGCTTCGTAAACAAGGCGGTAAGCGCACTCATTTATCAAGCTGTGTTCCCACCAGATATGACCTAAACGTTAAAGGCAACAGTGATGGAACGTAACTAAACGCTTCACATCGGTCTATCTGCCGAACGAGGTTTCACAATCGTAGAGGTGGATCAAAGAAACCCTAGCATTATAGCCTCTGCCTTTTAGAGAGAGTGTGACGTCGCAACCGCATCACAAATGACGAAATTGAGCAAAGCGCCTCGAGATTTTGTTATGTCGTTTGTCGCTTCTGCTATTCCACTGATGCTGATAGAGCTGCCAAGTGTGATGAATTGGTAAATGACTTTGAGCTGATTCCCACCAAGAGTCAGCGCAACGCGCCTTCCCGGCAAATCACGGAGGGAAGAATCGCATTTGGTTGGTGCAAAACAAAGCCCGAAACAATTGACGGCCAGAGCTGACCTGTCTAATGCTGCTTAGTAGGTTGTATATACTTTTTAGATGAAAACAATATCATCGACAAACTCCACGTAGATCAAGTTGTGTACGATGAAGGCCGTTTCTATAACATCCTTAATGAAGTTGAAAATGAAACAAGATAGCAGGCTTCTTTGTCTTGCGCCGTTGGAGCAAATGAAAGGCACTGACAGCTTATCGTGGGTCATCGCTTTACCAGAATGACGCGCGCAAATCTCCACTAGAATATTTACGCATTGCTCAGGCACAAATTTACTAACCAACCTCAAAGGGCACATTGATGCACCTAGTTAAAGACAACGTAGACCATAAAGGAGACGAGTACGATGGGTCAACGACATATAAGGCGATGCTCCAATTACTGGTGTGAAGTGAAAATGTGATAAATACGTACTCGATTTCGACGAAACTTAACGTACTTCACGAATCTGGTTTTCACATGCTACAGTTAATTTTATGAAGCAAAACAGAGACAAATAACCTAGAGTGGATGGAGATCAGACTGATACACTTATGACTGCTGCAGTCCGAACGTGAGTCTACCTAAAGGAACTAGACAATAACGAACCAGCTGCAAGCATTTGGGACAGCTGCCTCCTCCAAGAGTTTTAATAACAAATCGTACATGCCATACACATGCGCAGTATCCTCGATGTTAAAGAGAGATGGAAGAAGATGGAAAAAGCCCACCTTGCCCACAGTAATACGTTCATCTTAAGTCCGAATTCTGAGAGACACAGTGGATTTACAAATACTGCCTAGGGAACATGGAGATCACTGGCCGGCAGAGCACCTGGCAGTCCCGACAGATTAAATTGCTGTTTTAATGCTCAGTTCAACTATTAAACCGTTTAAACGAGCCGTGGTTAAGCTATCAACTCTCATCAAACACAGTTTCGTTAGCTTCAGGTCTTGTGCTTCCCGTTTCCTGTATGAGACTGAATCCTTTACGATGGTTACAAAGGACAACTGTCATCAATATTTCAGAGACACGACGCGAACATCATACTTCACCGTCTTTCTTCAGAAATGCAGGCCAGCGATATTTACCAGTCTCGTTGTATTCAATACTAGATGGAATGCGTCGGAGAGCATTCAAATTTTTCAGGGACTGCGTAGAGACCCATTCCACAGGATGGCAGTTGTGTTTGTGTTAGGCTGACATCACTCCTTCCAATAACGTAGGAGGAACACACGACAAATAAACTGATGTCATGTTCGCTGATGGCTTACTCAGGTCGAATAAGAATGCAACCTGGTACGCAGCTGGAATCGTTAGCAGGTATTTATGCTCTTGCTGTGCCATCGCAGACGTCCATTGAAAACAAGTTGCAGATCAACACAAAAACTTACATGGTCGGAGTCCACGATTAGCCTCCAAATAGAGCGACGGCTTTGAACGTACGATCTCTAGCGGTGTCTGCTCTCGAAGTCAACTATTCGAATTAATGGTTGGTGTGCTCGAACTCATTTGCCGGTGCATAACATGTCAGAACTTAGCTCTTGCGAAGAACTGAGCAGCATCTTCATAAGTGTTCAGCAGCCGATCACCGTCGTCATTTCAAGAATCTGCACCTGTGCACCGCTCAGATACAGCATATCGGTGCACAAATTTCAAACTTGAGCGGTCTGATCATCGACCAGAACTACAATACCTACAATTCTGGGACACACGAGATCCTGCAGTTGACGATAGAAGTCAACTTTCACCGACAGCGCAAAATCTATGTGGGCGTAGGCAGCTATGACATATAGACACCCAGGTTTCCCAAGCGACTTCGTAACTGTGGATGCGACAACCATGCTGATGTCGCAAAACTGGCTACTGATTTGGATACAGACAACCAGGACAACTTTAGCCTGGAATATCAGAACAATACTTATTCCGGCTTGACCGGCGTCCGAAGCTACATTATCTCGGGATAGACGAAATGAGAAAATACCACTAGTGTCAAATAAAGGGGTTCGCAGTGTGGGCACAGAGTTCGAGTCTTGCATGCAGGTAGGTTTCCAAGACACAGCGGGTATCGATCTAATGGGACACTGATATTCGAGCAACTGCTGCCTGTTAACCAATCTGCAAAAAGTGCTCACATTGTGGCAAGCCATTCAAAGCGAGGATCCAGGGCTCCAAAAAGCAAAGATGAACTGAGGTTGTCCTACTGGTTGGGCATGGGCCTAGCGACAGCGCGAGAGAAACGTCCTGCGATTGCGCGTGAGCCAAAACTAGATGACAAAAACATATTAAGGTGTGCTGAGAATTTGGGGCGAGAAATAGGAAGATGATAAGGATGAAAGGTGTTAGAGGGTGGTTAGTGGGTACAAATCCCTGAGTACCGACAGCCTCCCTTTTATCCACTACGCTCGACGCAACAGGTAGCGCGAGGGCCAGGGTATCAGGAAATTGTTTGTGGTAGGTTTCAATGTGTTGCGTGAGGTGGATACTGTCAGACTGCCCTGCCTAGACGAGTTGCGTTTTTAGTTTAAAGAAACCTGGCCGCAAGACATCGGGAGTTTGGCAGTGTGTTATAATGAGTCCATTTTCAGGCACAAGGGACGATCTTTCCTATAACCGTAAACCCGGAGTCCACAGACTGTGTTTGTCTGCAGTCTGAAGGCGCAAACCCACCACCCAGATTGGCTCATTGGATTGTTGAGGCGAACAAACCATCGCTACACGTTAAGATCTAGTCTCGTCATGATGGTAATCCAAGCAGTAGCGAAGAAACGTTAATAATGATGGCCTGGATTGGTGCGATAGGAACAGCTCAAAAGCAAGAAGAGTGGTGTCCACGGTAACAAGGATTCGGTTACTCATCTTGCAGCACCCACTAGTTAGGACGTTTGAAATTACAGTACGGTTGATGTCAGATGTAGATGAACATGTAGACCGTAAGTCAGACGGTGTACGTGGGTTTGGGTATTGCTAGGGTTCCCAAGTATAGATAGAAGAAAGATAAACTTCCTCAGCTCAATCCAAGGTCTCAGAAGCCTCACCAAAATAAGAGAAGGATCTAGCTATACAGAAATAGGTGCCACGCCAAATGTGATTCGAAATATTTAGGACTAGGAAATTGGGTAAATCTGACTTCCAGCCGTTGATCAAGTAATTCTCCTCAGTATAGTTCAATGTGTGGAAGGAGCACATGCACCATTGCATTCCAACAGAATATACTCAGGTTGCCAAGAGGTTTGCAGAAGCTAGTTCGTTAACATAATCTGATAAAAAGGTAAACAGAGGAAATCATAAGAACGGAAAGTGAGAGACTGATTGCAATAAAGCCAAAACCTTCAGTTACGATAAATCTATTATCTAACGGTTTTACACTTTACTATTAAGACAACTCAGCCGGATCCGGAAGTGAGAGTCAGTTTGAGATAAGACACCAGTAAGCTTCAGTGACGGGAACCTGTTCGATAGTATCTGCCCTCAAAAGTGAAATGTACGCCTTGTTTCACCCAAAATTCAGAATGTAAAGCGAAATAAATACAATCAGAATACAGACGGATGAATTCATAAATATCAGCTTAAGGCGTTGACCAAGTAGGCCTCACGATGCCGCGATAATAGCTGTGACAGCGATCAACAGAAGTGGTAGAAACATAAAAATTACTATCACTGATTTGGAATCATTATTCGTATGAAATGTTAACAAAGTAACCAAATTGTCCAACGTGGCATGAGGAGTATGCTTGAGTTGTTGGGTCAATGAACACACCTTCTGGCCAAGGTTATGCGGTAAGTTCGAAGTTGGATCGCAAGTCTATTTTGAATTTCCTTAAAAGATGTATTCATTTGGATTTATCCGCATAATACGACTGGGTCAGCTAACTCAAAACCACTTTTCACTCGCATCCCAAACGGACAATCCCAGCACATGCAAATAGTCACTCAACGTTTCGAATCCCTGGAATCCATTGTAGGCTACCCCACACCAGTTAGAGGGATATTTGCAGTTACATGGAACGTGCTGATGAGGCGAACGTGCAGGAAGATTACAGAGGATCACAGAGCAAGTGTCAGACAGAAACACCTAAGAAGTACATTTGTGAGCTCACACACGGAGTACGACCACAGACCTGAGACCAATGACCTACCTCACTTATGTCGAAGTAGAGTACCTCGCGCATGTACGAGGGTATACTGGTCAGCAGAGTGTACGAATTCCAGTCGAAGCCAATGATGACCACGGTAAAAGCCCACACCGGTAGAGAGGATATTATTGACAGTATTGGCAGCTTCATCTGGTGAGGAGAAAATATGGATTAGCTGAACCGGTTCGGAACAGGATGCGATAGAAATAAACACATTTTGCGATTTTCTAATCTGCTAAGTACGGTTTAGACATGAGTTCGAATGCATCTTGACTACAGTTTAGTGACAGATCTCGTAGGTGGATAGCTCTGCACAGGCAACCAGGTGTAGGGTAATAGTGTATAACTCTGATAGTGAAATAAGAAAGTGTCTTCTTAGTAGAAAAATACACAATTGTACAAAACAATGTGTGGCAAACTTGTAGCAGTAATAGATTCCGCTGTCTGTAGTTTCTGTTGCGGGAGATAAGTAGCTGGTGCATTTTAGCTTACTGGTTGCAGCCCCAATTCGTTTTCTGTCTAACGTCTCTCCGTCGCCTTGCATGTTAGGGCATAAACACAATGCTGCTAACTTTCTGACTCCGCAAATGACTCTACGACTATGGAAACACACACTATTATAGCTGCGGCCCTAGCGATCAAACTAACCGGTTCAGTTCAATGCAAAGCACGGTCTACCTTGAGATAGCGTCTCAGTCAGATCACACAACATGTATTTCAAAAGCACCCCCAAACAGAGACGATTAGTATTCCGACCATGATGCATAAAGTGCCTTCCCTCATCAGTCAACATCTCCTAACGCTTATATTAGTCTTGTTTTTGGTTAGGTTGTAAGTAAACATTTCGCCTGACCTTTGCCGTCAGGCTGGAACTTACCGTGGTGCGATGGTTTGTGTGCCTCAGCGATCCATAGAGCTCTGCTGGGTGGTGCTTTCTTATGAACATTCAGAGCCGCTTACACCAGAGGGGTCAATAGTTAGTGGCCAGACAAAATTAACCTTCTGGTCCACCAGGTTGGGGTTGGAATGAGGTGGCTTCTTATTCCTTAAAACGGACTCCTTTTAGCCCAACGACATACCCACTGTCTTGCGGTCAGGTTTTTAACCAAAGGCTTTGGTTGAGGACCCTAACCCTTCTCCTGTCTAGGCTTGGGCAACCAGACATTATCCTGATCACTGGATACTATGATCCTTTCGTCAAACAAATTGCTGATGCTCTGGCCACCGCAGTGGACAATCAACGGTGCCCTATGTGCTACATCGAGCAGGGTGGATAGGGTTTTGGATGCTACTGTTCAAGCCTTCCACTTTTCTTATTCCACTCTTATGCCTTTTCTCTCTTACCGTCACGTTCCAGCTTCACTTTTATCCCCCTGTTTTCACCCCCCTAATTCTTGGCCCTCCCTCAATTTGCTACGCTAAGCTTTTACCTTCCACTTCCAAATCACATGTGAACGAGGAGCGTCATTAATGTCCTGTCGACAAGCCCATGTCCAACCAAACGGCCAAGCCCAGTTCGACTTCCATTTGGAGCCCTCGTTCACCCTTCAGATTGGCATGCCTCAATGTACGCACGTTGCTGCAAATCGGTCAACAGGCAGCATATGCGCGAACATTAGAGACCATCTCGAACGATATCTGCTGCTTATCGGAGACCCGCCTGCAAGACTCGAGCTCTGTGCTCACTGTGCGATCCCCTTCAGGTGACACTAGCAGCATTTTCTCATTGCGCCTATCCGGTGACGATGCAGCTTCGAGCACCGGCCAAGCTGGTGTTGATATTGCCCTGAGTCCCCGGGCTGAAGCTGCTCTGGTTGACTGGATTCCAATCAGTAGCCGGATGGGTGCGGGCCCATTGTCTGACTCGCTCAAAGCTTCGAAGTAGCGAGGGACTAACAGGTGTCTATTCGGCATCGCTGCCTATACACCGACAAACTCTAGTCATGATTCGGTAGAAGACGACTTCTATCGCCAATCAAACGAGTTCATTCGCCACAGAAGAAACTCGGACACTATAGTGCTGGCTGGGGATCTGAACGCTCAAGTTGGAAAGTTGTCCACTGATGAAAAGCATCTGGGCGGTCAACCCGGTGTAGGCTCCAGTAACGATAAAGGTGAGCTGTCACTTCATGTGTGTGAGGATGCCTGCCTATTATTTGCGAGCATTAATTTCCGACACAGCACCCGCTGGAGGGTGACTTGGCGCCCACCAGACTCGAACCACCTATGGACACAACTCGATCACATTGATCACGAACCCACTGCGATAAGTTACCGATGGAGAGGCTGCGTCCAGAACGGTCGCTTGATTTGGAGCACATGTGTGGACACCGACCATGCACTTGTACGTGCTGATCTGCGGGTGCGTTTTGGCGAACGCCCACGACGACGCTGTGAGCGCATTGATACCATCCAACTGGCGAAACTAGCTGTTCTGAATGCCTGTCAAAGTACGCTGTCATGCGAGTTGAGTAAGCGCACACTGGATGCAGTTGAAGCTCACTGGTCTCATCTTCATTAGTCCTTACTAGCAGCAGGCAACTTTGCATGTGATAAGTGTAATCACCAACATGGACATTGGGTCTCTTCGCAGCCTCTGGAACTTATCGATGCTCGCCGGCAAATTCCAGGTGGAATCGAACACCATAAAAATTCTCAAAGAGCTCCGGACAAAACTCCGTGCTAGCCTGAAGAGAGACCGCCAATCCTGGTGGTCTCATCGTGCACCAGAGATGGAAATGGCTGCTGCCCTTGGTAACCATTGGAAGTTATTCCGTATGATACGGGGAACGGGCAGCAAGAGACCTGGTGTTAGTGAAAGTATACGTGACGAGAGTAGACAACCTATACACAACTTGTCAAAATGCTTGGAGTGTTGGGCTGAGCATTTTGAAAGACAATTTAATCGGTCAGAATTTTTAGATTTCTCGCTGGCCACTGATCGCCCTGCTCCGTGGGCTGTCCCTTTGGATCCACCTTCTCGCTCAGAAGTCGAACGTGAGATCTCACTGTTGAAGTTAAATAAAGCCGCGGCACCAGCTGATCTTCCTCCAGTCCTCTTCAAATTCGGGTAACCTGCTCTTGTGGATGCTTTATATGAGCCACTAGTGAAACTGTGGGAGCAGGAAACTGTCCCAACCAACTGGAGCCGCTCTGTACTGGTCCCAATTTTCAAGGGGGCACACGTTTGGAATGCGGCAACAATGGAGGAATCAGTCTGATCTACATCGTCTCCAAATTGCTTGCCTCTGTCATCCTTCATAGACTGACTGCCACTTGTGAAAGCCATATTCGTGAAGAGAAAGCCGGGTTTCGTCGAGGTCGTGGCTGCGTTGACCACATCTTCACTTTGCGTGCGTTGTTGGAGCACCGTCACATATCTTGGCGGTTCACCGTTGTGGTGGTTCTCTATATCAAAGTGCGTTCGATTCGGTGCATAGACGTGCACGTTGGGACTGTACGCAGGAAACGTGTACCTGAGCGATATGTAAATCTTATACGATTATTATACGCGCGTAGCTCAGGCAGAGTGAGGACTTACGGCAGGCTGTCGCCACCCTTCAATATCTCCAGCGGTGTGAGACAAGGATGCCCGCTGTCACCTTTCCTCTTCAACTACACTACTGACGAACTCATGGAAATAGCGTTCACAAGACACCACTAAGAAGGTGTGGGTCTGCTCCCAGGAGAACGATTTCTTGACTTGGAGTATGCAGACGACATTGCCCTAATCTGTGACAGCTCACAAACCTGCCTAGCGGCACTGGACAGCTTAGCACTAGATGTCAGCCGCTTTGGGATTTGCTTTGCACCCTCGAAGTACAAAGCGTTCCTCCAAGCTTGGTCGGGACCGCCTCATTCGCTGAACCTTGGTGGCGATCAGCTAGAAGTCGTTCAAAAATGTAACTACCTGGGAAGCTGTATCAGCGCCCGTGGGACTGAAGACGAGTTCACGAACCGTATAGCAAAAGCACGAGGCGATTTCACCAACCTTCACCACTTTCGGCGGCATGGTGACCTCGCTCTCAACCTGAAGGGTAGAGTGTACAATGCAGCGGAACAATCGACCCTACTGTACGGTTGTTTAACCTGGACTCTTAGATCAGCAGACATAAAGAGGCTAGTTACGTTCGACCACCGGTGCCTTCTTAATTTAGCTCACATCTGGTGGGAACACCGCGGGAGCAACGAGCCTGTTCGACGCCTTGTTTACCGCACGCGAAAAGGAAATGAGCAGCTCAATACTGTTATTTCACGCACCAGGCTACGATGGCTCGGCCACGTGTTACGCATGCCAGCCCACGGATGCCAGCGACGTGCGTTGTTTGCGCGCCGAGGGTGTGGATAGAAGAAGAGGAGGGGTGGCCAAGCGATGACTTGGTCGAGAGGAATTAAGGCCCTCACTTCGAAGCTGGCCTTATTTGGAGTGTCTCGGCTTCCTTGTTGGGGTCCGAAAGACGATGAACACGTTTGGCTGGATACACTTGTTGATATGGCTAGGAGCCGACCTCAATGGCGTTCGTGCTGTGAGATTCTTTGTCCCACCCCATCCCTCTTAGCCTCCCCTCCAACTACGATCTCATTATTTAACATTTTATAATTTTGTATAATAAATTATTTTTTTCTGCTATATAGTAGCCAGCAGGCAGCTTACCGGAACGATGCCCATCTGTTAGCGGTAGCTCAGCTGGTTTGCACCTGTTGCATTTTATTCCTTCTTTTGTTTTTAAGTATTACGGCACAGTAGCTGAGGTGTTTCCCACCTCTAGCCAACGTGTATAGTGTGCGCGTGTTTGCCGTACTCGATTGTCCCTGGCAAAAATCGCGATGCATGCCATTCCTCTAAATAGGTTGATTTCATGAATTCCATCACATGGATACAACTATACATTTTCCCGTTTGATTGCATTCTTTGTGCAATTTGACTGCTCTCTAAGACTTGACTTGTATCCTTTAGGCGATTCAACCTAGTCGTTAACCCATTTAAACTGCATCCTGTGTCTCTTCGACGCACCCCGCCTGCAGTGCCCTTAAATTGACCTAGCCCAAATCAGCCAATGAGGATGGACCCGATAACTCTTACATGGATGAGATGGCTCGATAGCATACCCGCATTGGTTAGTTTGGGCTAGGTCGATTCCAGAGACAAT